TCCACCACGGAGGTTTATTTTTGCTTGGGTGTTAGATCGCGGAAATGTATAAATGGTTCGTTAAACTGCCGAATGCTTGACTTAAAGCTTTTGTGACTGTAGGAATTCATATTCTTGGGTCTTTCGGTAAAGTCACGTAGATAGGTTCAAAGAAAATAATAAAAAATAACAGAAAACCACGACGTTTCGATCGCAACGCAAGCGGTCGTCTTCCTGTTATTTTTATTTTCTTTGAACATATCTACAGTACGTGACTTCACTGAAAGACCCAAGAATACCGAATTCCGTTAAAACTTGCGGGAGTTGTTCGCCTTTTTGCGTTTATCCATCTAACACTGGGTAGTGAGATACTGGTATTGACACACTGGTAGTGAGACACTGGTGATGAGACACTGGTGATGAGACACTGGTGTTGAGACAGGTAGTGAGATACAGGTAATGAGACACTGGTGGTGAGACACTGGTGGTGAGACACAGGTTGTGAGACGCTGGTTGTGAGACGCTGGTAGTGAGACGCTGGTGGCGAGACACTGGTGGTGAGACAGGTAATGAGAAACTGGTAGTGAGACACTGGTGGCGAACAACTGGTGGTGAGACCCAGGTATTGAGACTAGGCCCGAAAGAAGGCTGTTCTCTCTGGTGTAGACCAATCAGTTTCAAAGGCAATGCCACATTATCAGAGCATGTTGTTGTTTGCATGTTCACCACCAGCATGTGTTTTATTTCCAGAAAGGCTGCAGCCTATTGTTATGCTGTTAAAGGCTCCACCACTGAGCTGCTATGTAACTCTTCTTGTTCAAAAGTGACCTGGCCATCTCAAATCATTGCTCAACGAAGTGGCCTTATCATTACCACCGTGTGGAAATGTATAGCGGAAGCCAATTGCTCTCAATGTGTGGTGACGTTGATTATAAATGTGGAAGGAAATAAAACGGAGGACCCGGAGAAAAATCCCCGCAACCACGGAGAGAGAGATAGAGATGCAAACTCCAAATATACAGCAGGCGTCAGGGTCGGTATCCAACCCACGACCTTCTGTATACCAGGCGAGGGAGTTAACATTTCCTGGCCACTGCGGCCGACGTCGTTGTGAGAGAATTAGCCAAAGTTTGCTACATACGGCGTGAAATAACTTTAACACATACACAGAGACCCAGATCTTGAGATACTCAGAGAGACCCACAGACACCCAGACCAATAAAGACCCACACAGATCCTTAGACACCCACAGAGACCCCCAGAAACCCGTAACACAAAACCTTAACTGACTGTCTGTGTCTGGTGGTGGTGGCAGGTTACAAATTTATACTCATGCCTTCTAACCCAACAAAAACCTCTGTGGGTGTCTAATGGTGTCTCTTTGGGTGCTTCTGTGGGTCTCAATAGGAGTGGGTCTCTGTGGGTCTCTATGGGTGTCTCTGTGGGTCTCTGTGGGTGTCTCATTGGGTCTCTGTGGTTCTCTATGGTTGTCTCTGTGGGTCTCTATGGGTGTCTCTATGTGTGGCTCTGTGGGTCTCTATGGCTATCTCTGTATCTCTGTGAGCCTCACAGGGATGTAGTTGTTGTTTTCGTCGTCGTAGCTGTTGTTGTTGTAGCCGCCCCGGGGTTTGCCGACCTTGTCCACAGTGAAGAACCATACTTGTTTCATGGCCGCCAGCTCCAGCTTCTGTCGATGACTCAGCTGGGGCCCAAAGAGATCCAGGATCTCTGCACACGTGCCAGCAACAACAACTTAAACTTTGAACTATTTCTGTTTCTTTCACATTCCAGGTAAGAGCTTCATCGTCATCCTCATCATCATCTTCACATGGAGACTCATCACTCAGCTCAGACCCACAGAGACCCACAGAAACCCAAACTCGTATCGAACCATAGAGACCCACAGAGACCTATAGAGACCCATACAAGTATCGAACCATAGAGACCCATAGAGACCCATACTTATATAGATCCATAGAGACCCACAGAGATCCATGCTCATATCGAACAATAAACACCCACAGGGACCCATCGTAAAACTAAACTATATGTATATATATTTTTATTTTGGCTGGTAAAGCCCCACCGAAGTGGCTGATATCATCATCTTCATCACGGAAATATATCGCGGCAGCCAAATACTGTATACCCATGTAACATGGCCACCATGACAACCCCCATCCAATATGGCTGACGTGACATCCCCCATGCAACATGGCCATCAAAACAGCCCTCATGCAACATGGCCGCAATAAAGTCCCCCTTGCAACATAGCCGAAGTTACATCCCTCACGCAACATTGCTGCCGTGACATCCCCCATGTCACATGGCCACCATGACAACCCCCATGCAACATGGCCGCTGTGATATCCCTCATGCAATGTGGCCATCCTATAGACTGCCATGCATCATGGCCACCGTGAAATCCCCCACGTAACATGTCCAGAGTGACGTCCCCCTTTCAACATGGCCATAGTAATGTACCCCATGCAACGTGGCTGCCGTGACATCCCCCATGCAAAATTTCCACAATGAAGTCACCCGTGCAACATGGCTGCCATAAAGTCCCCTAAGCAACATGGCCACTGTGAAGTCCTCCATGCAAAATGGCGGTAGTGACTTCCCCCCATTCACCGATGGACATGTTTGCTCACTGCTGTTCTCACCTCGAGGCGATTTACTGCGGATAGGGCCGGTGCCGGCTGCTGAAAGCGCGCTCCACGTGTTGTCAGAGACTCCCTCCCTCCTTCTCGCTCCAGCTTGGCTCGCGATTTACTGCAGATAGGCCGGTGCCGGCTGCTGACAGCGCGCTCCAACGTGTTGTCAGAGACTCCCTCCCCTCCTTCTCGCTCCAGCTTGGCTCGTCTACACGCATATACACACACAAAAACAATATTGAGAGTATGGCTCCTCTACACACACAGACTTCAAATAAACAGTAGGCCTAAGGGTCGGGGTCGAACCCACGACCTCCTGTATACCAAGTGAGGTTGTTAACATCTCATAGCCACCGTGGTGCCACAGAGTAGTGTACAGGCATCGCAAACACTCACTACATCTCGCGGAGGATCGTTCCACGGTTCGGTTCGCAAGTACGAGTTGTAAGTCGATGTTAAACAAATATATATTTCATGGAAGCTCGTTCGTAAGTGTGGATGGTGTTTGTAAGTGTGGGTGGTGTTCGTAAGTGCTAGTGGTGTTCGTAAGTGCTGGTGGTGTTCGTAAGTGTGGGTGGTGTTCGTAAGTGCTGGTGGTGTTCGTAAGTGCTGGTGGTGTTAGTAAGTCGAGTGTAGGGGCCCATGCGTACCTCCATGGTTCCATACTCTTTGGTTCTATTCGGTAAAGTCACGTAAAAGTATAAAACAATAAAAATTCAAAATTAAAGTAAAAAAATTCACGACGTTTCGGCCACAACACAAGTGGCCTTCATCAGGTGAAGGGACCAGACTGTCTCGAGGAAAGCGCTGGAGTGAACACAGCCAAGCTCAGACCACGACCTTTAAGCTTGTGTGAGAGGAATAAAGGTGCCTTGACAAAGGAATTAGCATAAAAATTTGCATTTAATTGGCGGACTTAGCATGATGAACGGTGTAGAGGGGTTGAACATGTGCAGACCGGCGAGGGGGGAGGGGGAGCTTACATATTGATGGTGTGAAAAGGGAATTTAAGCAGCTGCGAAAGTTTGGGATACCACTACTTGAAAAAATATACTGTACCATTGAAAATTAGTTTATTGTTTGGTTCGATTTAGAACATATTTCCAATGGTTGCTTAATTTGAAACCATCTTCTCGGTTGAAATTGTGGCTGTGTTTGTAAATCTGAATTGTCTCGTGAACAAAGAACCTTGGTATCAGAGAAAATTATATCGTGATCACCCACAGCGTTGTAACAGTGATCAGCTACGGCAGAAGAATTCGTTCTGCCGTGTTACAAATCTGATTTGTGCTCGCGAATTCGGTCAGAGACGTCGTTTCGTCTCCCCGATATAGCAGTCACCACAGGTGCAGATCAATCTGTAAACTCCGGGGTACTGTAAGTCAGGAATGACATCCTTCACGGAAGGGATCAGGTCACGGATTTTGTGTACTGTATTGAACCGGACCAGGATCTTGTATTTGTTTAGAATTTTGGAGATCTTTTTAGTAACGCCTGCTATATATGGCAGTGTGATGGTTTTGATCGGAGTATTAAGCTTTCACACTCACTTCTGCTGCTGTATCTTTGCTGAATTCTCGTAGATCTGATTTGCCTCGTGAACAAATCTCTGAGATTTGTTCACGAGACAATTCAGATCTACAAACACAGACACAATTTCAACCGAGAAGATGGTTTCAAATTAAGCAACCATTGGAAAGATGTTCTATATCGAACCAAACATTAAACTAATTTTCAATGGTACAGTATATTTTTCAAGTAGTGGTACCCCAAACTTTCGCAGCTCTTAAAAATTCCCTTTTCACACCATCAATAGGTAAACTCCCCCTCCCCCCCCCCAGCGCCAACCGGCATGTGCACCCGCACGTACACCGCCTCTATGCTAAGTCGGCCAATCAAATGCTAATTTTTATGCTAATTCCTTTGTCAAGGCACCTTGTTTCCTCGCACACAGCTTAAAGGTCGCGGTCTGAGCATGGCTGTGTTTCACTCCAGCGCTGTCCTCGAGACAGCCTGATCCCTTTACCTGATGAAGGCCGCTTGTGTTGTGGCCAAAACGTCGTGATTTTTGTTGTTTTATTTTTTGCTTACGTGACTTTACCGAATAGAACCAAAGAGTATGGATCCTTGCAGTCACGAAAGCTTTAAATCTAGAATCTGTGTTGTGAGTTCGTGGTGAGGATGGGGGTTTGTGGTGAGGATGGTGGGTTCCTGGTGCAGGGATGTGGGACAGTGGTGAGGATGTGAGTTCGTGTTGTGACTCTCTACACCATCTCGACCCCCCTCCCACCCCCCACCCACAGCTTTACACACAGAGACCTTGGGGACTGCTGCGTGAGCAAAGCCACTCTGAGCATTAACACCATGGAGGTACGCATGGGCCCCTACACTCGACTTACCAACACCACCAGCACTTAGGAACACCACCCACACTTACGAACACCACCCACACTTATAAACACCACCCAGACTTATGAACACCACCCACACTTACGAACACCACCCACACTTATAAACACCACCCACACTTACGAACACCACCCACACTTACGAACACCTCCCACACTTACGAACACCACCCACACTTATGAACACCACTCACACTTACGAACACCACCCACACTTACGAACACCACCCACACTTACGAACACCACCCACACTTACTAACACCACCCACACTTATGAACATCACTCTCACCTACGAAGAGCACCCTCACTTACGATCACCACCCTCACTTACGAACACCACCAGCACTTATGAACGAGCTTCCATGAAATATATATTTGTTTAACATCGACTTACAACTCGCACTTGCGAACCGAACCGTGGAACGATCCTCCGCGAGATGTAGTGAGTGTTTGTGATGCCTGTACACTACTCTGTGGCACCATGGTCGCGAGATGTTAACAACCTCACTAGGTATACAGGAGGTCGTGGGTTCGACCCCGACCCTGAAGCATACTGTTTATTTGAAGTCTGTGTGTGTAGAAGAGCCTACTCCAATATTGTTTTTGTGTGTGTATGTGTATGTGCATGTAGACGAACCAAGCTGGAGCGAGAAGGAGGGAGGGAGTCTCTGGACAACACGTGGAGCGCGCTGTCAGCAGCCGGCACCGGCCCTATCCGCAGTAAATCGCCTCGAGGTGAGAACAGCAGTGAGCAAACATGTCCAACAGTGAATGGGGGGAAGTCACTAATGCCATTTTGCATGGGGGACTTTTTGGTGGCCATGTTGCTTAGGGGACTTTATGGCAGCCATGTTGCACGGGGGACTTCATTGTGGCCATTTTGCAATGGGGAATGTCACGGCAGCCATGTTGCATGGGGTACATCACTACGGCCATGTACATGGGGGTCTTTATTGCGGCCATGTTGCATGAGGGCTGTCCTGATGGCCATGTTGCATGGGGGATGTCACAGCAGCCATATTGGATGGGGGTTGTCATGGTGGCCATGTTGCATTGGGGATGTCATGGCGGCTATGTTACATGGGTATACAGTATTTGGCGGCCGGGATATATTTCCACGTGATGAAGATGATGATGATATCAGCCACTTCGGTGGGGCTTAATCTGCCAAAATAAAAATATATATACATATAGTTTAGTTTTAGTATGGGTCTCTGTGGGTGTTTGTTGTTCGATTTGAGCATGGATCTCTGTGGGTCTCTATATGAGTATGGGTCTCTATGGGTCTCTGTGGGTCTCTATGGTTCGATACGAGTATGGGTTTCTGTGGGTCTCTGTGGGTCTGAGTTTTAGTGATGAGTCTCCACGTGAAGATGATGATGACGATGTAGCTCTAGCGGGGGCCTTACCTGGCATGTAATCAAAACAGAAATAGTTCAAAGTTTAATTTGTTGTTGTCACATGTGCAGCAATCCTGGATCTCTTGGGGCCTCAGCTGAGTCATCGCCAAAAGCTGGAGCTGGCGACCATGAAACAAGTATGGTTCTTCACTGTGGACAAGGTCGGCAAACCCCGGGGCGGCAACAACAACGCCAGCTACGACGATGATAACAACAACTACATCCCTGTGAGGCTCACAGAGACACAGAGATACCCACAGAGCCCATTCAGACACCCATAGAGATCCACAGAGACACTCATAGAGACTCACAGAGGCACCAATCGAGACCCACAGAGACCCACTCCCATTGAGACCCACAGAGGCACCCAAAGAGACACCATTAGACACCCACAGAGGTTTTTTGTTGGTTTAGAAGGCATGAGTATAAATGTTTAATCGTTAAACCTGCCACCACCACCAGGCACAGACAGTCAGTTAAGGTTTTGTGTTACGGGTTTCTGGGGGTCTCTGTGCGTCTTTAAAGATCTGCGTGGGTCTTTATTGGTCTGGGTGTCTGTGGGTATCTGTGGGTCTCTCAGGATCTGGGTCTCTGTGTATGTGTTAAAGTTATTTCTTACCGTATGTAGCAAACTTTGGCTAATCAACTCACAACGACGTCGGCCGCAGTGGCCAGGAGATGTTAACTCCCTCGCCTGGTATACAGGAGGTCGTGGGTTGGATACCGACCCTGATGCCTTCTGTATATTTGGAATTTGCGTCTCTATCTCTCTCCCGTGGTTGCGTGGATTTTTCTCCGGGTCCTCCGTTTTTTTCCTTCCACATTTAGAATCAACGTCACCACACATTTAGAGCAATTGGCTTCCGCTACACATTTCCACACGGTGGTAATGATAAGGCCACTTTGTTGAGCAATGATTTGAGATGGCCAGGTCGCTTTTAAAAAAGAAGAGCTACATAGCAGCTCAGTGGTGGGGCCTTTAAAAGCATTGCAATAGGCTGTAGCCTTTCTGGAAATCAAACACATACTTGTGGTGAACATGCAAACAAATACATGCTCTGACAATATGTGGCGTTGCCTTTTAAACTGATTGGTCTACACCAGAGAGAGCAGCCTTCTTTAGGGCCTAGGCTCAATACCTGTGTCTCACTACCAGTGTCTCGCCACCAGTGTCTCGCCACCAGTGTCACACCACCGGTGTCTCACCACCAGTGTCTCACTACCAGTGCCTCATTACCTGTATCTCACTACCTGTCTCACCACCAGTGTCTCACCACCAGTGTCTCATCACCAGTGTCTCACTACCAGTGTCTCACTACCAGTATCTCACTACCCAGTGTTAGATAGATAAACGCAAAAAGGCGAACAACTCCCCCACGTTTTAACGGAATTCGGTATTCTTGGGTCTTTCAGTGAAGTCACGTACTGTAGATAGGTTCAAAGAAAATAAAAATAACAGGAAGACGACCGCTTGCATTGCAATCGAAACGTCGTAGTTTTCTGTTATTTTTTATTATTTTCTTTGAACCTATCTACGTGACTTTACCGAAAGACCCAAGAATATGAATTCCTGCAGTCACGAAAGCGTTAAGTCAAGCATTCGGCAGTTTAACGAACCATTTATATATTTCCGCGATCTAACACCCAAGCAAAAAGAAACCTCCGTGGTGGAAAATGGCGGTCGTGGAAGCCCCGACTGCTGCTGCCACCACAGAGCGTTAGGCGCTCCGATTGCGACGACTCTGAGAACCAGCCTCCGCCTCTTCCTCCGCCTGCTAGTTCCGCAAGGAACAGCTCCAATACCGCTATGAGGTGCAGAAGATGATCGGCGAGGGAGGCCAGGGCCTGGCGCTGCAGTGCCTCGACCACAAAACCAAAACGCTCGTGGCCGTCAAGATGCTGTCGCTGCCCTTGTGGTGAGTCGGAGGGCCTTCCGCGGTGGCCCGCACTCTCGGAAAATAATCATCAAATGATTGGAGGCAACGCCGTGAAACTGCCACTAACTATGGACTCGCTGACAAATACTAACTGCCGTAAAACTTCTGCTAACTATAAACTAACAAAATACTGACTGCCATAAACTGCTGCTAACTATAAACTAACAACATTTTACTACCATAAAACTGCTGCTAACTATAAACTAACGGAATACTAACTAATATAAACCTGCTGCTAAATATGAACTAACAAAATAATAACTGCCGCCCAACTATTGCTAACTATAAACTAAAAACTAACAGACCCATAGAGACCCACAGAAACACCCAGACACAGAGACCCACAGAGACCCGTAGAGTTCAGAGACACCCACAGAGACACCCAGACCCTTAGAGACCCACAGAGACCCCCACAGTCACCCACAGAGACCCCCACAGAGACCCCTACAGAGACCCGCACAGAGACCCCCACAGAGACCCCCACAGTCACCCACAGAGTCACCCACAGAGTCACCCACAGAGTCACGCACAGAGATCCTCACAGAGTCACCCACAGAGACACCCACACAGAGTCACCCTCACAGAGTCACCCACAGAGTCACCCACACAGAGTCACCCACACAGAGTCACCCACACAGAGACACCTAAACAGAGTCACCCACAGCGTCACCCACACAGAGTCACCCACAGAGTCACCCACACAGAGTCACCCACACATAGTCACCCACACAGAGTCACCCACACAGAGTCACCCACAGAGACACCCACACTGAGTCACCCACAGAGTCACCCACACAGAGTCACCCACAGAGTCACCCACAGAGTCACCCACAGAGACACCCACACAGAGTCACCCACACAGAGTCACCCAGACAGAGTCACCCATACAGAGTCACCCACAGTCACCCACACAGAGTCACCCACACAGAGTCACCCACACAGAGTCACCCACACAGAGTCACCCACAGTGTCACCCACACAGAGTCACCCACAGAGACACCCACACAGAGTCACCCACACAGTGTCACCCACACAGAGTCACCCACACAGAGTCACTCACAGAGTCACCCACACAGAGTCACCCACAGAGTCACCCACACAGAGTCACCCACACAGAGTCACCCACACAGAGTCACCCACACAGAGTCACCCACACAGAGTCACCCACACAGAGTCACCCACACAGAGTCACCGTTGATTTCGCGGCCTTCCCCGTCCCGCTGCGCAGCTCCTCGACAGCGGCCCGCCAGAGGACGGAGCTGGAGGTGGCCAAGGAGCTGCAGGGCAGGGCCAGCGATGAGCGCTACGGAGTCATCCGGGTCCTGGACACGTTCGAATTCCGTGGCCACAATTGCCTCGTCGTCGAGCTCTTGAAGTACGTGAACCTTCCCACCCCCCTCACCACCCACCCACGTGCGTGCGGGTTTCCATTGCTCCGCTCGCGACCAATATCATCCAAAATAGAGGTTTGTTTGGGTTAGATCACGTAAATATATAAATGTTGTGTCGTTAAACCCGCCACCACCCGACACAGCCAACTAGTAAGGGTTGTCACGCAAACAGAACGTGCGAATTCGTTACTAGTACAGCACTAGTGTGAAGTGTATAGTAGTGTAGTGTATAGTGTAGTGTATATTGTAGTATAATGGTACAGCACAACGGTGTGTTGGACAGCCAAGCCACAACATTTACAATCTCTGAGTACGACGTTTCGCCAGTAATTACAACCAGCTTCATCAGGTGACAGCCAGATTTTGTGGAGAATTCCACCTGTTTCGTTCCTTATAAAGAGGCACAGATGTGGTGACCACACTTCTGTGCTCTTACGCAAAGTAGGGGGGGGATTAATTTTCTAATTTGTTCCCCAATAGCTTTATTTAATGCATATAATATATTGCACGGCAAGTGAGTGGTGACGTCACATCTGTGATGTTACCCGCATGCGGCAGCGTCACGCAGTGTGCCTGCTGACGTCACGCATCCCCCCCAACCCCCGTGTAGGCTGTGTATCCCGCATAAAAGCGCTGCATAGCTGCCTCCATTTTCTAAGTCAACGCGACGAATTTCAGCTCGCTCCTAAATATGAAGCAGAAAATCCACTGTTTGTGTGAAGCAGCAAAAACTCTCGAACGCTGAGCTCTGACGTCGTGAAATTTGCACAGCTTACGCTGTCTGGAATTTCTAAGGGAACGCGACTATATTCAGCTCGCCACGTCATTCCCTTCCCGAGTTGCCTAAATCGACCTTACGTAGAAGTGGGTTAAAGTTGAATTTCCTTCAGTGAAAAACATCCGATTTAGTGAAATTGATTTGTTTAGGATTTTTTCTTTCTTGCAAGCATCAACCTTTTTTCAGGGTTTTCCAGTGAAATCTTTATATATACAGCAAAAGGGAAATTTGTGGATATGTGTGTCTGTTCGAAATGTTTAGCATACTTCCCAACATGCTACAAACTTTAAATTTGGCATGTGGGTAGCTTCCATACTGTACACAATGTAAAAAGTATAAAATATTACTTCGTATCTTTTGGGGGGAGGGAATAATGGATATAATCTATTGCACGGCAGTGAGCGGTGACGGCACATCTGTGATGTAATAAACTATTATTTTCCGTGCGAAGAACGGGTACACATTCTAGTAAAATATATTAATAAGATATTTAAAAAAAAATAACACGATATTAATAGGTTAATAATAATGATAATGAACAATAAGATTCCAAAATTATAAGGAAATTATAATGAAATAATAATACAAATATATTGCTAATACAAATTTTAATAAAAAAACTTAATTAAGAAATATTGATAAAGTAACAATAAAAATATTGTTAAGTTGTGATATGATAGTAATAAAATGATAGTAATTAAATAATAAAATAGAAATTGTAATAACAACATAATCACGGTGAAATTAGAATGAAATCATAATGAAATTATTATCATTAAATATTTCACGCGCGGCAATGTTTTGTGCGCGTTAGTTCCCTCGGCGCTAGTGCAGCGCGGCGACGACGCGGATGAATACCGCGGAGCGACGAGGAGTTCCCTGACCTCCCCCCCCCCCGCCAAAACTAACCAAGTGTCACAGTCGGTTTGGGGTCCGGGTTGTGGGTCGCCCTGCGGACGTCATCGGAACGGGAAAGGGGTTTTAACGTCGTCGTCGTCGTTGTCGTGCCAGGAAGAGCCTCTACGATGTCATGAGCAAAGGGAGCATCGGGCGAATCTACGTGAGGCGGTTGAGGGAGTACACCAGGGCTATCCTCGACTTCCTGTTGTACGCCAAGGGGCGGGGCATCGTCCACGGGGACATCAAGCCGGTGAGCGGAGCGGGCGCGGTGGTCGCGCCCTCTCGTTGGGGCGCTCGGTTAGCTGGCGCCGAGGCAGCCTGGCCACTGTTGATCGCGGGGTCGAAGCAGTGGCTCCGTCCATCTGGAGGGAGGTGGTGGTAGTGGTGGTGGTGGGGTCACGGTACCTCCGGTGAAGACGATCTGGGACGAGGTGGACACTCGTACCGTAGAGGCAGGCCGGCCATGGTTGATCGCAGGGTCAATGCACTGGCTCCGTCCTTCTACTGTGCCTCTGCCACCTCCTCCTTTCAGATGGAGGAGGTAGTAGGAGATGTTAACTACCTCGCCAGGTATACAGGAGATCGTGCGTTCGATCCCGACCCTGACGCCTGCTGTATGTTTGGAGTCTGCGTCTCTCTCTCCCCGTGGTGGTCACGTGGATTTTACTCCGGGTCCTCCGGTTTTTCCCTCCACGTTCAGAATCAACATCACCAAGCGTTTAGAGTTATTTGACCGCTGTTTTAATATTTCCGCGTGATTATGATGATGATATCAGCCCACTTGGTTGAGCTATCGTTTGTGATGGCCAGGTCGCTTCTGATAAAACAGCTGCACAGCAGCACAGAGTGGGACCTTACACCTAGTAAAGTAAAACATAGCTTAGTTTTAGTTTGGGTCTCTCTATGTCTGTGTGGGTCTCTATGAGTATGGGTCTCTCTAAGTCTGTGTGATTCTCTATGAATATGAGTCTCTCTAAGTCTGTGTGAGTCTCTGTGAGTATGGGTCTATTTCAGTCTTTATGGGTCTCTATGAGTATGGGGTTCTGTAGGTCTTTATGGGTCTCTATGAGTATGGGTCTCTGTTGGTCTGTGTGGGTCTCGATGAGAATGGGTCTCTGTTGGTCTGTGTAGGTCTCTATGAGAATGGGTCTCTATATCTGTGTGGGTCTTTATGAGTATGGGTCTCTGTGGGTGTGTATGGGTCTCTATGGGCCTGTTGAAACATGTGTTTAGAGTGTTTGGCTGCTGCTATAAATGTCCACGCAATGATGATGATGATGTTATTACGTGATGGCCAGGTCGTTTCTGATAGAATAGCTACACAGCAGCTCAGCGGGGCCTTACACCCTGGTAGTAACAAAACAAATAGGTTTAGTAGTTTATTAAAACGACTTTGAACGAGTCTCAGGCACATAGCCCATGCCAAAAATGGGAGGGGGGGGGGGCTGCCTGTGTGGGTGTAAATGCGTCACTTTGCGTGATCGACCCACTGCTGGCTGGACACTCTTGCCGTAACCTCAGAGCGTGGAATTCCTTCTCTGTCTCTCCCCTTTGTCCAGGATAACATTCTGCTCACCGCGGCCGGCAAAGTCAGGGTCAGACACTCCAAATCGCCACTTGCACAGCACTAGCCGGTGTGCTGGAGATGTAAATCCACTACGACGTTTACAATTCGAGCGATTACAGCTGAGCATCATCATCGGGCGGGCAGCCAGAGTACGCGGTCCAACCCAAAAACTCGCCTCCGCCGTGAAATGTCGGTCGCAGAAGCCGACTAGGCATTTAACCGACCGAAAAAAGAAACCTGTTCAACCCCCGTCGCTGTTGACGGAGGGGCTACTTTATATTCATCGTCGTTGTTGTTATTGTTGTTGTTGCTGTGCAGCCCAAAACGTGTGCGGGACGTTGCCCTACATGGCCCCTGAGCTGCTGCTGGGCTACTACGTCACCTGCGCTGTGGACATGTGGGCCCTGGGCTGCACCGTGGCCGAGATGGCCACCGGCAAGGAACTCTTTGATTCACGGACCTTCACAGAACACCTGCCCTACTGCATCGAGGTACGGTCGGTGGGTGGGTACGGTGGGTATGGTGGGTGGGTATGGTGGGTGGGTATGGTGGGTGGGTACGGTGGGTATGGTGGGTGGGTGGGCGGGCAGGTCTCTATGGATATGGGTCTCTGTGGGTCTGCACAAAGACCCATACTCATAGCGACTCATGCAGACCCACAGATACCAATACTCATAGAGTTTGATTCGTCTGGCGGCCACAAACAACCGGCGAGGAATATCTAACCTGGTCCTGGACCTCTCATAGGTCGACGCAGCCTCAAACAAGTACTTGGTGTAGCGGTGTGTAGTAAACATTTCCACTGAGGGAGAAAAAGGTGGCCGGGCCTGGTGCTGGGCACCCACCCCCTTGTGTGCCATTCCGCCGCCGCCGCCGCCGCCGCCGCCACCGCCACCGCCACCGCCACCGCCGCCGCCACCACCGCCACCACCACCGCCACCACCACCGCCACCACCACGGACACTACCAGAAGGGTCACCCCCACCAATGCCACCATCCGGGCCACCACCACCATCAGGGGCACCTCCACCGCCAGCGAGGCCACCACCAGCAGCAAGGCCACCCCCACTTCCAGCGAGGCCAACCCCACCACCACCACCATTCGGCCCACCACCGTCACTCGGGCCACCACTACCAGCGAGGCCACCCCCACCGCCAGCGAGGCCACCGCCACAACCACCACCATCCGAGCCACCACCACCAGCTGGGCCGATACCACCAACTGGGCCACCATCACCATCAGCAGCAGCGGTGGCACCACTCCTGTGCAGGGATCTGCAGCTGCTGAGCCTCTCTCTGTGTACCTCGCCTGGTACGCAGGAAGTCGTGGGTTCGATCCCGACCCTGATGAGATATTAACCACCTCGCCTGATACGCAGGAGGTCGTGGATTCAATCCCGATCCTGATGAGACGTTAACTACCTCACCTGGTACGCAGGACGTCGTGGGTTCGATCCCGACCCTGATGAGACGTCAACTACCTCGCCTGGTACGCAGGAGGTCGTGCGTTCGATCCCGGCCCTGATGAGATGTTAACTACCTCGCCTGGTATACAGGAGGTCGTGGGCTCGATCCCGACCCTGACGATGCCAGCTGCTGCTGTATATTTGCAGTCTGCGTTTCTGTCCCCGTGGTCACCACGTGGATTTTTCTCAGGGTCCTCAGGATTTTCCCCTCTACGTTGAGAATCGGCGTTACGCACTTCGAGTATTTGACTGCCGCTATGAATGTCCACGCGATGAAGATGATGATGATGTTATCTGCCCACTTGATTCGGCTATCATTCGAGATGGCCAAGTCGCTTCTGGTCTAAGTGGGTCTATGGGTCTCTGTGGGTCTATGCGTCTCTGTGATTATGGGCCTCAGGGGTCTGTATGGGTCTCTATGAGTATGGGTCTCTGGGGTCTGTATGGGCTCTATTAGTATGGGTCTCTGTGCGTCTCTGAATATGGGTCTATGAGTATTGGTCTGTATAGGTCTCTATTAGTATGGGTCTCTGTAGATCTGTATGGGTCTGTATGAGTATGGGTCTGTATAGGTCTCTATTAGTATGGGTCTCTGTAGATCTGCATGGGTCTGTATGAGTATTGGTCTGTATAAGTCTCTATGAGTATGGGTCTCTGTGAGTGTAATGAGTGGCTCCAACACGATACGAACTTGAAACGTTTATTAATAAAACTTCGGTACAGTTGGCCGTCTACTCGCCTCTTGTCACTCGCACCACGGATGCATGGCCCCCCAAGCGGCTTCGCTGCCCTGCGCCACGTGGCGCTCGCCACACTCTCTAGCACGCCGGTGGCTGACGCCGCTGGCTAGGGAGCGGCTGAGTGGCTGAAGGTCGAGCCGCCACGTGGCCCATGGAGATGGCGGAGCAGCGGCGGTGACGGGAAGCTCCTCTTGATTCTTCACGCACCGACCCCGCACCTTGCTCCGGCCCCCACTTATATTCGCTCCCCGGCAACTAAACTCCGCCTCTGGCCACGCCCCTCATGGAACCTTCGGGAGCGTTCCAGAGGCTTCCCGGGTGGCTCCGCCCCATTACCCTTGGCCTCGATGCAATCTTTCCCCGAGATAACCCATAACTGCATATCACGCCACACCCCACATAATAGGGGAGATGGCGCTCACATTACATGAGTATGGGTCTCTGTAGGTCTATGGGTCTGTATGAACATTAGTCTGTATGGGTCTCTATGAGTATGGGTCTCTGTGGGTATGTATGGGTCTCTATGAGGATGGGTCTCTATGAGTATGGGTCTGTATGGGTCGCTATGAGTATGGGTCTCTGTAGGTCTATGGGTCTCTGTGGGTATGATAATGACGATGATGATGACGACGACGATGACAATGACGATGTTGATGATGAAGACGATGTTGATGACGACGATGATGATGATGACGATGATGACGACGACGATGATGATGACGATGATGCGCTGCTGTGGTGTTGCTGCCTCTCTCCACAGAGCGGAGCCGGAGGAGAAGCTCCCATCACCATCGTCACTGCTCACCCAGACCTTTGGAGAGAGGACGGAGGTGGTGGAGACGCAGGAGGAGGATGACGACAACGAGGAGGATGAAGAGGAGGAAGAGAAGGAGGAGGAAGAGGAGGAAGAGAAGGAGGAGGAAGAGGAGGAAGAGAAGGAGGAGGAAGAGAAGGAAGAGGAGGAGGAGAGGGAGCGAGGGGTCCTGGCGCGTGTGGGCAAGGCGCTCCGCTCGCTCTTCGGCCGCCTGCTCCTCTGTGGTGGACGGCCCACGGCAGAGTAGCGGAGTGGTGGTGGTGGAATCGGTGCAACCACCACCACGAGCAGCAGAAGCAGCAGCACCACCACCACACTCACAGCACTCACTCACCACCCACACTCACCACCCACACTCACTCACTACCCACACTCACCACCCACACTCACCACCCACACTCACCACTCACACTCATCACACTCACTCACCACCCACACTCACCACATTCACCACCCACACCACCCACACTCACCACCCACACTCACTCACTCACCACCCACACTCACCACCCACACTCACCACCCACACTCACCACACACACTCACCACCCACACTCACCACACTCACCACCCACACTCACCACCCACACAACCCATACTCACCAGCCACACTCACCACCCACACTCACCACCCACACACCACCCACACTCACCACACAATGGACTACAGCCAGCCTAGCCACGTGCGCGTATGAAGAGTTAGGATAGAGATATAAAATAAGTTATAATGTAATAATGTGTACATATATATATCTAGACCATTGTTTATCGATTGTTGTTGTTAATAAATAAGCGGACTCAACAGAACGTTGTAGTTGTGTTTGTTGTGGCGAGTTGCTGCTGCCTGGGGTCTCAGGTGACTTACCTGGTATATAGGAGGTCGTGGGCTCAATTCCGACCCTGATTAGATGTTAACCGTCTCGCCTGGTACGCAGGAGGTCGTGGGTTCGATCCTGACCCTGACGATGCCTGCTGATGCTGTGTATTTGGAGTCTGCCCAGCTCCGTGTCTCATCAGCA